CAGAACTACACAGAACTTTCACTGTCGAAAATGTGCCACTGCACTTCATAAGAAAGAATACTAAGGATGATTAAAATAATATTTGATTTGAAGAAACAGAATTTTAATAGGAAGCTTGTGGTGTTTACAGAACTGGTTCCGTGTAAATGGAGTCCAGGGTTGGAAGGTTGGCTTCTGTGATGGTTTCAACATCAGTACTCAATGGCAACAGTCTGTGCCATCTCAACAAGATGCATTGCAGCAACTTGCCCATTCCCTTTCAACAGCGCCTTCTAAACCCGCAACTCCTATGCCCGCCTGAACAGTAGAACCCACATTCTGTGAAAATATGTTTTAATAATGCCAGTTGTTTTCTTATTTCCCTCATTACTAATGATTATCTGTCATAGTTTGTGTTTGCAGAAATTAAAAAATTGTCCTCTCGTACACAAAGACATCTCTGAGAGCCAGGCAAATTTAACCATTGTTGGTGGCCATGGTAGATGTCTATTTTGCGAAGACAACTACTGATGTCTTGTTGAGGCTTTCTATCTGCCTACATGTGATTCCTACCACATGCAGCACCCACCTTGTCCTCTGCCCATCTTTTCTCCTCCTCATCATCCCCACTCCAAAAAAAGGCATATATTATAAAGGCAGAAAAAGTCTGCACAATGGAACTTGTCAGTATTATGTTTCCCATATTTAACTTGCATTCTTCATCCGCTTGTCTGGGACTTGACTGCTCTGCAGAATTTAGAACTTCACAACAAGCATGAAATTAAATAAAACAAATACAAATTTCACCAATGCTGTCACTAGCACTTGTGCATCAGCCAATGCTGAGCACTATGTGAGCTCAGTAAGGTAAAACACAGATCAGGGACTTGATCTGTCATGCTCAAGAGCCAGTTTAGCATTAATCAACTTCAGGGTAGAAGATAGCACAGATTGCCAAATTGATATATCACTGAAATAAAGGATATTCCATTGTAATAGGTTGAGTCAAACTGGTTGACATTGCTCAGTGACACTTACCTGATAAAAGACTTTCTAAATAGTGTTGCTAAAAGCTGTGATGTCTGTTCTACCTGCTGACAACTGAACAGTATTTGCAAGACTGGCCAACCCAGTCAACACCACTTGCATTGTATTGAGTGACATCACTTAAATATGGAGAGCTAGCCCTCTTTAGCATGTTTTGTCGTGAGGGAACCTTTGATTGTGCCAACCAAAACTGATAGCTTCAGGATTTATGAAAATGTGCCAAATATTTGTCAATTTGTTAAGACTACACATAATGTTGGATATTTTCACAAAATCTTAGCCTCATACTGTGTTACTTAGTTAGCCCTGAAATAGTGTGCTGGCATTGATGCACATGCTCCCAAATATTTTTATGCATTTAAAAGAAACAAAATATCTCCAGTAGAAGATATCTATAAAAAGACAGCTTTGTGGCTGTCTCAGACCACCAACTTAAAATGCGGTCTGAAGGAACAAATGGAGGACTGAGGGACATCAGAAAATACATTTTAGATTATGCTAATTGGGAAAATTCAGTGATTTACACCAATTAATTGAAAGGGTGTGGTGTTGCATCAGAGCTAAGCTTTGATTTGTTTCTTAGCAAAACTGATAAACCGAGATCCCCATCTGGTGGGCACACTGAGGAACAATGAGTGCCAGAGGATGAAAATCTTTTAAAATTAAGAGTTCCAAAACAAGGCACATGCCAAGGAAACTGGCTTTCAGTATTATTGCTTATCTGTCATGGGACTGTTATTGTTGTACATTCATTTTAACTTCAAAATGCTTTCTATAGAGGTAGAAAACCCTGAATCAGGGTTGTGATTTGTGCTGAATGGAACTATTAGCAAACAGAGGTATTTTGAGCAGTCTGTATTTCGCGCATATCTGCACTAAGCTGATTGAGCAGTATGTACTTTGTATTCTTCCTGATGCCTATCGTTTCATTTTAGTTGATCCTCAAGGAAGTGGATTCTTTGCTCTACGTAGACACGGACATTCTTTTTTTGCGTCCTGTGGACGATATATGGGCATTTCTTGAGGATTTCAATCATACTCAGATTGCTGGAATGGCGCCAGAACATGAGGAGCCACGAATTGGCTGGTACAACCGTTTTGCCAGACATCCATACTATGGAAAGACTGGAATCAATTCTGGCGTTATGTTAATGAACATGTCCCGTATCCGGAAAAAATACTTTAAGGTAAGTGTGGTCTGGAATTTTTTTGCTCATGTATTGAACTGTGGTAAAATTATATGTACATTATGGTTTGTTTGATCTCTTGAAAAGATGGGAAGTGAATAAATGTAGAATTCCTTCAGTTAATTACTGTTAATTAATCCACTATTAAATAAAATTGTTTTTAATTTAGATTAATAAATGTTTAATTATATAATAGAATAATAAAATACCAATCCAATTGCCAGACCAAGTGTAACTGGAAATATATATTTCTAATCTGATTATGAGTGTTTAGTCTAAAATCATATTAATTCTTTCTTTTGAAGCTGCTAACTAATATTGTAAAGTTTTATGGGACAAGTATCTGTTGTGTTGTTAAAGGTTTTTTTTAAATGAAAAAGGTGAATGAATGTGCTAGAGTGTTGGTGGTGGAGGAGGGATTTATTTGACTTTCCAAGGACAATGGTCCTGTTCCTGTGCACATTTCTTAACTGCAGTCACAAGATAATGACCAAAATGGGGCACCTAAGTTATTACCATCCCTGCTATTTCTTGCTTTATTCTAGAGTGTTGAAAGCAACTGTGGAAATGGTTTCAGTCATTAAACAGCAGACTTGTTAAATAAGCATCAGTTAATATCAATAGTTTGGAGCAGAATAATCAAATTTAATGATAAGATTAAAGAACCTTGTAGCAGATATTTTAGTTAATGACAACAATCTCTAATTATAATTTAATTACAAAGGTTTCTAAAGTCTGTATTCTGGAGGTTGAATATTAGTAGTTACTTTGACCAGCTGGTGGTGCTATTAGACAGTCTTTGGCATCACTAAAACATTATGGAAGATGGGCAATTTAAACATAGAGCTAAACCCCCTAAATGATATTTCATATGTTACATTGCATAGTTTCAAATTTTTGTTTTCCAACTGAAACACTTGGAGACAAATTGGTTGCTTATTAAGATGGTGAAACTAACTACAGCTTTCATTGGATTATTTTTCTTGGCTACATTAGTTTTATTTCAACAGATGCTGAATCATTTAAAATAACACTTTCAAGCTTCCAACTACTTAGCCCTTGCTGCAGATCTTCATCTGTTCAAGAATTCAATCACTCATACTGGCCACTGTTTTAAACTTCTGCATTGAGTTTACCCACGGGCTGATCTTGTGTCCGTTCGTAACTCTTCCCACACTTATCTCCCATAATCCACCCTTTGTAAACTTCAGCTCATTTGAAAACTTCTGATCTGCATGAAGTCCTACTCTTCTGTCATCCTTGTGCTTACTGACCTATGTTTGCTTCAGTTCTGTGCCAAAGAGGCAAGCAGTGAAGGATAGAGCCTGGAAACCAGTCTGAGTGCACTTTATAAGCTTTGATTTATACATACAATTACATATACCAAGTTAATTCTCACCACCTGAATCAATGCATGACAATGCGTAGGCTTTGTCTGTCAGCTGTTTTGATCACATTTGTTCAATGAAAAACAATGACACGTGGCTAAAAATACTTAGAACCTTTTTTATTTCAGTAAAATGTTACGTGTACATTTTCCCAACTCCAGCAGATGGAAAACATTTCAACTTCTGAGAGTACGAGGGGGCTGTCCAAGTGCTGTTTTGACATTTTACCCTGCCTCTCCCCACCCAAAAAACAAAGTGGTACATTTCTGAGCTTTATTCAGTGGTGTTGCTTTGAACCTTAACTGCTGTATGTTGGTGAATGAAAGTCAAGAGACAGGTGTGCTGATAATGTTTGCTGGTGGAGTGTGAAGGCGGTGTTGGAGAAAAAGGACAGTGGAAGGTAAAGAGAGCTCAATAAAGTTACCCTGGCTGGAAGGATTGTGGAGTGGTGAATGGGCAGGGTGAAAGGAGGGAGGAATGAGATAGAATAGATTGGTGTGTGTGTTTGCTTTGCCTTATAATCTGTTAAAGGAAGTGTGAAAAGTGGTCTCCCCTTCCTGTCACCTCCCAATCTGTTATAAAGGGGAGGTTAAAATGAAATGAACTCTGACAGTCACTCTATAATCAACAATTAACAATTTATTTACCTAACTGTAGCAGTTAACAAATTAACAGAACTACTAACAAACTGAACAATTCCCCCTTAACTATTAACTATTCCCAAATAAAACAAAATTCTAGTAGTATGCTGTTCCAATAGATATAAGTCCTACTAATATAAATGAAGTAAATAAAAAACAATTTTTTTGAAATTACAGTCAGGATAAGTCTTCTGGAATGTTCTTTGCTTTCTCTGCTGTCCTCCTGTCAGGAATGCCTTCCTTCGAATTCTTGTGCTAGGAATCTTAGCTAAGAGTGCCATAGTACGTTTATTTAGATGTTGCTGCTTACTGAGAGCTGAGAGATTTCAGTGATAGCTAGTGAGTTTCTCTTCAGGTGGCAGTTTGCTCTCACCCCAATTTCAAATAACCTCTTCTTTTATACACTTGATGACCTATCAATTCCTTACAACAGGACTGGTCCTAGGTTGTCAAAATCATATTTAAATTTAATTGGGTTTTGGTATCTAGGTCCTGGTTTAAATAATTGGCTAAATTCAAATACCTGTTGTCTTGGTAAAATGCCTACTAATAGTATAACCTTTTGATGCAGTGTTTCAATTTCAAGAACTCTGTGCATCTGCTGCTGCCTGCAGAATTTTTTTAAATCTCCAAGCCTTTTAAAAAAAAGTACATCATCTTTTAAAGGGACTATACACACTTGCCCCCCCCCGCCCCAATTATTTAACAAACATCAGATACTCTACCCAACTTCGCAACACTAACCACTCAAGCCTCCTGTCATCATAAAATCCTAGTATTGTGGAAGCAGGCTGTTCAGCCCATTGGGCTGTACCGACTCTCAGAGCATCCTGCCCAGACTCATTCCCCCTAATCTTATTCCCTGTAATCCTGTATGTCCCATTACTAATCCACCCAACACACACGCCCATGGGCACTATGGCCAAATTAGCATGACTAGTCCACCTAACCTGCAGATCTTTTGGAATTTGGGAGGAAACCGGTGTGCCCAGCGGAAACCCATGTGGACACAGGGAGACTGCAACCTCCGCACAGACAGTCGCCCAAAGGTTCAGTCGAACCTGGGTCCCTGGCACTGTGAGGCAGTTGTGCTAACTTGCTGAGCCACTGTGCTGCCCTTTCTAACTTTATAATTGCAATTGTCTGTACCCTTCAATTTCTGGATTGTGTGACAGAGAGCTCGCGTAGACTTGATAAGCCAAGTGGCATTGTTCCATTCAGCAAACTCACACTTCCACTTAAACTGCATCAAACAGTGGAAGTGAGTTTCATGTTCTTAACATTCTTTGGGTAAAGAAATCTCTACTTAATTTCCTATTTGATTATGTGGGACCTATCTTGTATGGATGGCTTCTAGTTCTTTTGCTCACAAGAGGAAACGTTTTCCTGATATCCATTCTTTTCACAAAACATAAATTTTTAAATACACGCTTTTCTCCAAGAGAAATGTGACCTAGACTTTCATTTCTTTCGTGCAGAAATTCATCAGATCTATGTTATCATTCTTGTAGATCTTCTCTGTATGTTATCCAGTGCCCCTATGTACTTTTCACAATACATCAGCCAGAACAGCATTTTATTCTTAAGTAGAACAAAGCTTCTACATCTGTTTAGCACAGAGTACTTTCTTCTAATTCCATTTCTTTAGTAATAAAACATTAGTGCTTGGTTTCATTTTTGTTACAAACAGTTATATGCCATGGCTAATTTGTGCAGCTTTCAATGATTGATGCATCTGTACTCTGAGGCCACTTAGAGCCATAGAGTCATACAACATGGAAACCGATCCTTCGGTCCAACCAGTCCATGCCAACCATAATCCTAAACTAAACTAATCCACCTGTCTGCACTTACCCCATATCCCTCCAAACATTTCTTATTTGTATAATTGTCTAATGTCTTCTAAACATTGTAACTGTACCCGTAACCACCACTTTCTCTGAAAATTCATTCCACACACCAACCAAAGTTGCTCCTTACGTCTTTGTTTTTAAATCCTTCTCCTCTGACCTTTGAAAATATGTCCCCTAATCTTGGAATTCCCAACCCTAGGGAAAAGATACCTTTTCTAAACCTCTATGAAGTTACTGCTACACTCCAGTGAAAAATGTCCCAGCCTATCCGGCCTCTCCTTGTAAGTCAAACCCTCCATTCCCAGCATCATCCTGGTAAATCTTTTCTGAACACTCTCCAGCTTAACAATATCCTTCCCATAACTAAGCGAACGACACTGCGTACACTACTCCAGAAGAGCACTCACCAGCATTCCGTATAACCTCAACATGACGTTCCAACTCTAAACTCAAAGATCTGAGCAATGAGGACAAGCGTGCTAAACGCTTTCTTAACCAACCTGTCTACCTGTGACGCAAACTTCAAAATATTGTGTATATGAATCCCTAGGTCTCTGTTCTACAGCACTACCCAAAGCCCTACTTTTAATTGAATAAGTCCTGTTCTTGTTTGTTTTGCCAAAATGCAATACCTCTCATTTATCCAAATTAAATTCCATCTGCTAGTCCTCAGCCCATTGACCTATTTGATCGAGATCTCTTTGTAATCTTAGGTAACCTTCTTCATTGTCCATCATACCTCCAATTTTGGTTTGTTCTTGTACTCCACCTAAATTATCACCTTTCCAGTAATAAGTGACCCCTAGTGTTGCATCTAAATGTGTCGCCTCACATTTATCTGTGTTGAACCTCATTTGTAATTTATTTGCCCATCTGGCAAGTGTATTAATGTGTCCCTCCACCACCCCTTCCCTGGCTACAAGTCTGGTATCATCCACAAATTTGGATAGTCGCCCACTGAACTGGAAAACTTGCTTCCAATTCTGATTAGGACAAAAAAGCATATTTTGATCAGCTTTGTCATTGATTTTCCTAGCCAATGTGGTTCTTTTACAAAACTGCGGAAACTAATCCAGGAATGCTCGGAGCTAACAACGGAGAGAGTTGGCACGGAAATGACGCACACTCCTCTCCTCATCAGCAGTAAGTGCTGTATGTTGAGGTTTAATTGTTGTGTAGCCACTTCAAAAACTATTGAGTGGAGGTAAGTGGGAGGTGGGCAGGGTGGCAGATGGATAATAGGTTGGGAGGGCAGGGTAACAAATGGGTAAGGGGGTTGGGTTCAGCAGTGACAGATTTGTGGTTGGAAAAGGTTGAGAAGGGTAGGATTGGTCCAGCAGGCTTTGTAGGTAATGAGGGAGTTGGTGTAGTTGGGTGGGGTCAGTTGTGAGTTGGGGGTTCAGTTTCTTACTCTGCCCAAGAGTTAGATCAGATTCTAAGCCTCTAGTACTTTTCCTGATTAACAGTTGAGCTTGTGTGAGTATCAACACTCCAGAAGTCTCCGTCTCTATCCCCAGAGTTGGGGGCCCCTTCGGAGAGTTCCAGACAGTTCCAGCAGCTAATTGCTCCAAAGAAATTTGAAATTACCAGGCACTTTTCATGGAGTCAGCTGCATTGAGACTTTCACATAATCTGAATGCGAAATTCAAATTTGCGCTGCTGAAACACTATCTCTTCTTTTGGAATTTCTAGGCTGATCTGTTTTTAATTTCAAAGTCCAAATTGTTATTATGAATTGTGAACAATAGTCCCAGTATTGATCCTTATGGGTCCCACCTTCTGTCTATCTGAATAATTATTTCATACTCACGATCTATACACTCATTCTGTTAGCCAGCTGGCAGTGCCTTCTGGTATTTGTTTCTGATACCATATTCTCTGACCTTTTATCAATCAAGTTTATTTTGGGGCACCTGATCAAAAAAGTTGTAAATCCACATAAACTGTTACTACTCCATAATTTTTTTTAAAAAGACTTCATTTGTATAGTGCTTTTTGTGACTGCTGAAAAGTCATGAAAGGTTCAAAGTGCACAATATGCTCACTTGTTTTTATTGTAAATACATTTATCTATTTCTCAACTCTTATCCACCAATTCTAGTTCTTTAGTAAAGACTGAAGAAAAACAATTCTGCCATCTCTTTAGTGTTATCTATGGTGTTATGTCTGTCCATTAATAGACCTATTCTTATCAGATCCAGCCTGTTTATTGATGTGCTTGTAAAATATCTTACTATTTTGTTTTACGTTCATTGATGGCTTAATTTCTTAGTTCCTCTCTGCCTTCCTTATTTCACCGTAGTCTCTTTGTGTACTACTTTAGCATTTGCCCTCTAGTATCTACGTAGCCGCTTATACCGTTCCTACCATCACCAAAGAGGAAAACAAAATTCATAAAGCCCAGCAGTGATGCGGTCGTATACTTTCCAAATACATTATTGTAAAACCGACTTGCTCATTTAATGCAGGCAGCTGCCTGGGATATTGCTGTCAATGGCATTATTGGCCCTGATCTAGCTGCGCATGTGCAGAAAGTGTTTCTAGGGTGTCATTAGCATAATTAAACATAATCATGCAAGTAATGCATGGCTTTGTCGTAACCCTCCAATTGTTTCCTTATTCATTCATAGAGTCTCGGCAATGTATTACTTATCAAAGTATTTTTCAGTGTGACCTCATTTTATGATCCTAACACTTGAGCATGAGTGTGACGCCCAGATGCAGCAAAAGCAAAACAGCAATATAGCCATGTTTAAACATTATACTGAACTGTATATTTAAATTGTATTCATTAATTCCATGTTTATATAAATATGAATAACTTGAATATGTTAATCAGTTTATGAAGTACTTTGTACATGTAGAAACTCCATTCTCTTTATTCCCTTTGCCTATCTCTTCTCAATTTATATCAATGTATTTGAGATTCCTGTATGCTTTTCTATGCTATATTCTCTATTTCATCAGCACATTGCTTCCTTCACTTCCCATGATTGTGGGGGAGCCTGTAGACTACACCCAGAAGTGTGGTTGATCCCTTATTGTCCTTTATTTATACCCACATGCAGGCTGTTCTTGTCTGATATGTGTCCCTGTTTTTCTACGACTAATATCCTGTCTCCCTCATAAGTATGGTTACCTCATCTCCTTTTTGCGATATTTAATGTCAGTCCTCACTTTTTTCTCTCGGTATGTCTCTTTAATCTCTCCTTATGGTTGTTTTCTCTCAACATGTGATTTTCTTTGACTGTCCACATTGCGCAATGCTGTACAGACATTCTGAATCATTTTTAACAGAATTAGACAAGATGTTCTCACTTAAAATTGTCTTGTATTCCTGAAAATCAAAATTTTTAAGTGAAATGACCTTCAATGAAGCATTGATTCCTCTATCCATCGATGTTAACACTGAAGTTGGGTCTTGCAGGGTGTTCCTCAGCAGAAAAACAATGATTAAATCATTACAACTGACAGAGTACAGATATAATGCAGTATTTTGGTTAAATCCTACATTGATAAATGAAAGAACTAAAACAAATTTTATTTTATATTAGGTTTAACTTTGTACCTCCTGTAGTGGATCCTCTAAGAGTGAAACCAGAGGTGCTGCTTTCTAGGGTCTGTGTCCAAGCGTATTTGCTTATCTTTCTCTGGGCTGCGTGCTGAGGCTGTCACCTGCTCCCGGCCATGTTATGGCCACTGCCTGGTGGCATTATTTTGGGAAAGCTCACTATTGCTCATTGGGGTGGTTGCTCTTGGCTGGCTGTGAGGTACTACTGTTCATTACCATTCAGCCAGGAGGCTTTGGGGAGCAGCAGAACCACTGTGTAATCTGGGACCAGCTGGGAAGGAGCTCCCTGCTGTGCACCTCAGACAGTGACTTAGCATTGGGAGTGGTTGTGCCAAGAAAGTGTCATTCAGGTCAGGTACAGAAATCAATGTTAAAACTAATCTGCAATGTTCAGTGAAGTTTCAGTTCCAGTAAATGAACTGACATTAAAATCTAACAGTGCTAAATGAAGACTTCCTGTGTTGCCATTTTTGTGTCTGGTGTACTTGATGAAATGTAGTGAGATCTGGTACTTAAAGCCTGCAATTATTCTTCGGCCCAAACTAATCGATAGTTGCAAGTAAGTTTTCATTTGGCAAATTGGTAACAGTCGAGTCATGTTTGGAATTGGATATTTTGAGTGTGATGAATTGTTGTTAAGAGCCTGGCCATTTTATTTTTAAAATATCAGTTTTCATTACCTGTTGCTCATTAAAAATATTAATAGATCTCTGTCAATTGTTCATACATCAAATTACTGAAGTGAGTTTCATGTTCACAATTTTTGTATCCTGTAGAATGATATGACAAATGCCCGGCTGAAATGGGAAGATTTACTTTTGCCTCTCTTCAAGAAATACAAGCTCAACATTACTTGGGGAGACCAAGATTTACTCAATATTATTTTCCATCAGAACCCAGGTACAATTTTATTGCTTCTTTTTGTTTTCACTTGCTTTCTTGCCATTTTATTTATCACTCTCTTCTTTTTTGTTTCTTTCTTTATACTGGCTGCCTCACTTCATCTCTCTTGGCTTGGTGGCCTTCCCCACCTCATCTCTGTGCACTTGGCATCACTTCTCCATATGTACGTCATCCTGTCTCTGTATGTGACACTGTTGCACTCCACTCTTTTTGGCCTCCAGTGTGATATCGTTGCCCTCTTCTCACTTCTCTTTTCTCCCCCTGCTCCTCACCTACCTTGAGTGATAATTATTTAAAAGTTCCTTATGTCTTTCTTTTTTCATTTTTAAATCCCACTTGTTAGATGTCTAACTGTTCCTGCATGTATGATGCAATAATCCATTTTGAAACCCTGCATCCTCTGCTGTTCTGTGTATTCATTGCTTTTCTTCAATGGAGTTATTTACTTCCGTGGGCTGATAAATGGCAAGTCAATGTTGCTGGCAGGCAACAATCATCTTCAACACAAAATCAAACTGCTTACCCTTGACATTCAAAAGCATTATCATCATTGGGGTATAGCGATGTTAACATCTGGGATGATTCGCATGGCCATATGTTTTTAACATGTTAGGCTGCAAGAATGTTGTGGCTACCACACCAAATCAGAAGTTGACTATTTTGCAACGATCAACTCATCATCTGACTTTACAATGCATTTCTATCATCTACAAGGCAAGAACGTGATTAAATATGTTTAAGTGCCTGGATAATTGTAGCTCCAATAATCATCAAGAAGCTTGACAATATCCAGAACAAAGCCCAATTTATTAGCAGCTACTACCTGCCCCAATTTAAGCATTAATTCCAGTACTTTGTCTGCATTGTGTGCCACCTACAAAATGTATTACAGCAAATTGTCTTTACGCCTCCCACATTCAGGACTTCTGCCAGTACGATGGGCAAAGGAAACGGTATGTGGGAACACTACCGCTCTCAAAGTTACACATCATCCTTGATGTACACTGACATTATTCTATTTGGTTAGTTAACATCTGAGATCTCCCTGTGAGAGTAGCTTTACAGAGAACAGAGAAGGTTTCTTGTTTAAGAAATAGACTTCTTGACTGAGAAATTGTCATGGAATTTTGTTTAAGGTTTCGAAGCTTTTAAAGATCCATTTATGTTGAATTTAAAATTAAAGTCTAGTTTAGGAAATTATCATTAGTACTGAACCTTGTTATATATTTAATACTTTTTCTCTATTACAGAAAGCCTGTTTATTTTTCCATGTCAGTGGAATTATCGACCTGACCACTGTATGTATGGCAGCAACTGCAAAGCAGCAGAGGATGAAGGAATCTTTGTTCTTCATGGAAATCGTGGCGTCTACCATGATGGAAAGCAGCCTGCTTTCAGGGCTGTGTATGAAGCAATAAAAAGTGTAAGTACTTCAGTCCCAGAAATAAAGCTGCAAAATAATTCAAAGTCTTTATTCCCTTCATGAGAATTGATTCATTAATGTACCATAAAGAGAAACAATCTATTACTGTTGAGAAAAGTATTTTCTTGACATCCTATGCAACAAGCTGCCCCTGGGTCTGAAGTTACTTTTCGTACGCATTTTTTCTGGTCTTGGGTGTTGGCTACTGTTACATGCTTTTTAAGACAGGGATTTTCAAGCAATAGTTTCCTATCTTGAAATATGAGGGAGCAGTACTTATTTTTCACCAGAAGTCAATGGTAATGGCTCTTGTAATTAGGCCATTGTGCGTAGGAGTGTTTTTTTTTCCTTGATTCTACAGCAAAGTTGCATCAATTAAGAACAGCACTCTGACAGTTAATGAGCTCTTGAGTATTTGGGCCACCCTCCATCCTAGTCACATGTGCTGCAGTAGTAAGTTTCTTGTATGCACAATGTCCTTGATGGATCATAAGGCGCTTGCTGCCATAAGTTACGAGATGCAAATCATCAGTGTTTTTCTTTTATGCTAATGCATATTAACATATTTCAATTTTAAATGAAGTCAGGTTCTGTTTTCTTTTTATTACCATGAACATTTCTCCCCGTTGGTTTCTGTGAGGAATAAAAATATTTTTAAAAATAACTCTTCAGGTAGTATGATTTTTTCCATATCTAGGTTATAGGAAGAAAACCAAACTTTTCCACAAGGTCGTGGAAACAGCCTTTGAATGCTGCAGTTATTCAACAACTGATACTTCACCATATTATTGGTTTGTTTGAAAATGGTTAACCTCAGGGTTAGCTCCTCTCTAATCAAACTAGACTACAGAGAGGACGTATAATGGCAGCTTTTTCTAATCAATGAATATGATGGAGATAAAAATGAATAGTTTTGCTACCTTTACTATCCCTTGACGTACACAATGCTTGCCTGAAAGGTTACATGACCCTAAACTCCTAATTTTGGCATTCATTTAGGGCAGGGATTCCCAAAGTGGGGCAGGATTCCAAGTTGGGTTGCAAGTTAAATTTTGGGATCCTGAGATCTGAGACAATAATTCCTGCTCCAATTAACTTGTAACTGCTATATTCCTGCTGTGACAGATCCCTACTGTGTTAAGTCCTCCCACCCCACCCGCCCAAATGATCAAGGCTTGAAAATCACATCACAGTTGGAAGCAGTTTGGGGAGCATTGATCCAGGACACACAGTAGTAACCAATTGTGCAGTAATTCTGCAAATCCTTTATCATTTGTTATCTGGTAGATCTTCACTGCATTGGTTTCCCATGGTAATGTTACTCAGATTCTCAGAGCTACTTCATGGTGGCACATGTAGATGCATGATAATTTTTATTGCCAAAGTTAGCTGCTTTGAAATTGGCTTTTCATAATTTCTTTCCTTCACTCTCTCTGTTTTAAAATTTATAATTCGGGAACGTTGATGTAGGGTGAATGACAAGAAGGCAAGTACGGCTTTCCAAAGGGATATGGATAAATGTCTGAAGAGAAATTTTGCTCCACAGGGATAGGTGGTGGAGTGGAACTGGCTGAACTGATCTTGCAGAAAGCTCACATGGCTGTGATGGGCTAAGAATCCTCATCCTGTACAGTAATCTTTCTACATCTCCAAATATGGAAGATAACCACACAGCATTCATGCCAAATTGTGGTCGCCTTTTAATTATTTTGCAGCCAAAATTAATTTTGATTTCTTTTCACCATGCATGCTTACTCCACAATTCCCACAATTATAATTAGCCAAAACCAAGAGAGGCCATCACTTTCAGAAATATATAAACATTATTCTTCAATAGATTTGTTCAAATAAGAGGATGTTTCTTGAGGCGTTTCTGTCACTGCACTTGTTTAATTTTATTTGCATACTCTTTTGTAACAAAATAGTTTGAGTTCCCAATTGTTATTTGTTTCTCCTTCTTTTGTTATAAATGTATTTTCGCTTCCAGAAGCATCCCATATCACATTATGAAACGACTTCAATCTACAGTTCCAGTCTTTAAATGTTATGTCTTGCATTTCCAAGAATCAAGTGTAGTTTCTAATTTAATTGTGGTTTAAGGCTGTAGCATATGTGCCCATTTGTGACATAGTGACGTTGGGCAACATTTTGAAAATTCAAACTAAGTTCTTGTGCAAATAAGATGTTAGCTCATTACTGTTCCAACTCTGATGTCCAACCAGAGTAATGGATGTGTATAACTTTTAAGAAGTGCCTCAATAAATACATCGCTATTGTGCTAGCTTACTTTTCAAATCTAAACAACTATGTATTCATGATATGTATTAGATTGATTTCAGAGCAACAGGCTCTTTCCCTGTGAAAACAGAAGGAAACACAAGATTAGTGGCTGTGGATTAGTAGGTGATATATTTGCGTAGATTGTTAACCAATTCTCAAATGGATAAAAGCAGTAAAAAGCACAGGGTCATTTTCAGGATGGAAGAGTGCTATTAGTTAACTGTTATAGAATTGTTAAAGTGGTAGATGGAGCAAAATGCAGATAAGTGTCAAAATTATCCACTTTGGCAGGAAGAATTGTTTTCTAAAAATATGAGTACATGTTGGAATATACAGGAATTTTGGGTGTCCTTGTACACAAGTCACTTTGTTAACATCAGGTAGGGCAACCCATTACTTAGTTAGGAATGCAAATATTTTGTTCGCCTTTATTGCAAGAGGGTTAAAGCATGAAATAGAGAGCTCAAAATTTGACCCTTGTTTTAGTGTGGGAGTCGTAATTAGCATCTTGCTTGCACTTGTATTGTTGAAGGTGGGTAGCACAAGTTTGGTGCTCCCATATTATTGCAACATAAGGCTGGACATCCTTCCTAGCTGCTGCATTACTCTGGGTTCACCATACTTGATGTTAATATTTAATTCTGTTAATAAAAACTAAGTACCTAGGAGTTAACGATAACTGTGCATACAGGTGTGGGAATTAATTATTTAATTGTACTAAAATGTATATTTCTTGTGTAGTGATAGTGTCCCTACCTGTGAACCAGGAGATTCAGGTTAAAGTCCCACCTTTCAGATGTGTCATAGCGTGTCTGTACAGTTTGATTAAAAATATCTTGAACATCTCCTTATACTTTTCAAAAAAAATTCTTTGAAAGGGTCTTTGGAGCACTGATCGTGTTTCAGGTTGGTTCATGTTCCACTTGCTCCAGAGATGTGGCATAACACTTGAACATGTGATGAAAAAATAACTATTAAAAGTATATAATTACATTTCATTTGCGTTTTGTTTTTACGAGTGTCGAGGTAATTATAAATAAAAGCCAGTTGGGAGAAGAGATGATATTTTGAATGGAGTAACAAGCACTGTATGAAGAAATCAGAAGCTCTTCCAAAGTGTATTGGTTTCTGAATGCGCTTCACAAAAAACTCCAGTAATCTCTAGCACATGATGCAACCAAGCCAGTAATCTTGAAAGCAGATTATCCCTCTACAAGGACAGAGTTATGTTACTGCAATATAAAACCTGGAAATGGAGTGCCAGAAAGCGCAGACATTTCCAGGTGATCGCTGTTGTACTGAACAAATTAATGATGAAGGTAGACAAGAGAAGACCGGCTAAGGAACATCCTCACCTGGCTGGAAAGATCAACTGTTGAGAATCTGGACCTGAGAACTTGTCAGAAAAGTCAAAAGCTATCTCATAACCTTTTGAACATATGTCAGCATGTCACCGGAGTCATCTTCCCATGATGACATCCACCCACAGCACCAATCTTACATACTGTTTAATACACCACAGCCCAATTACTAAAATATAATATTCAGATAATCAGTCTACCTCTTGCTCAGATCCTTAATGCTGCCATCTAACCATCTCTCTACCTCCACACAGCCACAGCTATTCTACTACACCTTGCACTTTACCCAACCACTGCATTCCACAATCACTGACAGTCTGACATCTCTCTTGTAGGCAAGATGGCACACAACAGGAGAAAACAGTAAAGAACTGGCAGATGATGAGAATGCTTGCTTCTTCTGAGCCCGATAAAGAAAAATACTCTCTGCATCTTTGTACTGACTGTACAGAACTTGTGGCATCCAATGTCACCAAGAATATTGATTATGGTTGTACGTTCCTGCCTTACTCCCCTTCTAAACTCCTAAAACACATGCAGATGAATCGACTGCCAGTGTGTGACCGCAGGATATTTGTTTTTCCCACATCAATTTTCCATTCCTAATTTCCTATTAACCAGTCAGAGAGAGGGAGACAGAAAAAGAGCAGCGGCTATAGATGTAGCCCAATGACTTGGCAATGCAGCTTACTTGGAGATCAGTATAAAGTAGGCATCAACGCAGTAAGTCATCCAGATACAAATGAGCTGCATCCAATTTTGAGTCAGGATGTTTGATTTGGCACCTGATTGTTCTGTTATTCTCGATTCTGGCAAGGATGTCATCCAGATCTTGCTTTCTTGACAACAACCTAGCCGTAACAACCTTCTGATGATCTTGTCAACTATTCTTCTGTTGTTTTATGATCACGCTCCCTAGAAAATCAAGAAACGATCCCTAATACCTCCACTGGCATTCCACAGTACTTGCAGACAATTTGCAATTATTATTCTTCATAATTATCTGCAACTTGAGTGGCATTTTTCTGCAAAGCAAACACGAGGCTTATTTTGTAGTTCAGTGCTTGCTGTTTGTAATGTGGCTTACAAGTTAGTTGTCGCACCTGTGTGTTCCTGATTAAATATCCTGACACCACAACAACCAATTTGGGTGGTAGGACACCAGTTTAGTGCTCAGAGTATGCTTCCTGCACCCGGGGCACAATGTGTCCTTGCAAAATGGTGCCAGGTCTCCATAGCATTGATGGAGCTCATGTTGAAAATATGCAGAACTTTGGTGAATTAACGCAATTTGCACGTGTTTGGTTTCTTAGCCTAAGGAAGGATACACTTACCAAGACGCAAGGGACATGCATGGTT